CCCACCACGACTAGCACAACTACCACGCCTACCACAACTACCACAACCACTACACCCACCTCGATCAGGACAAGCACAACGGTGGTATCTACCCCAGTTGGGGTGATGGTGAAATGTCACATGGGAGGCTTCCCAAATCCGAAAGATTGCTCAAAGTGTGTTTGCCCAGACGGATATGGAGGCAGATATTGTGATGAAAGGGTGATAACCTAGTGCCTTTGAGGAACAACATTAACAGAAAAGTTTTTTAGCCAAGCGGGTGCGGAAAAATACTGAAAGCTACCACAGATTACGGGCACTTGGAAGACACAGTTGGGTATCCAGGTGTAACCAACTCTAGTGACGCACCGGACGACTTTTTGAAGTGCAATTACTGGATACAGGTTAGTCATTCTCCATTTTCAGTAGCGTAAACACCGTTTCCGCAGGCTCCACAGGGAAGAAGGATTGAAGTGGCATTAGTCAAGTATAATGATAGCGTAGCTACTGATGGTTGCTACCTGGCTGGTATTGAAATCAAAACACAAAAAGATCAGCGTGCGACGGGCTACAGGTAAGATGTACAACACATGATACTGCTGTGTGAATCAATGCTCATTTTAGAATTTGCTCCCCCGCCTATAGGGGATGGGTGTTCAGATCTGAAAGCAACATTGTTCCTATCATCACTTACAGCCGAGTCTGGCCAACTGAAGCAGTGTTGCGATATCGAATGGGTACGTAAATCTATAAATGCCAATGTTAAATACAAAAGCCAAAGCACATGAATTTCATTTTCAGCGTGGTGATATAATACTTGCTCAGTAAAAAAAGAAAGCGTCTCTTCTGAGCTGATCTTCGCATTGAAAATTCAACCTTGTTTGTCAACCGAGTTTAGGATAAATCATTTTCTCATTTGGGTCTATCCTTGCAAAGAAAGACTTTCCTTTTTAGCTATGGCATATATGGGTCAAATTTGAATTAAAAGCAAATAAGTAATAACGCAAAAGAGATAGAAATTCCCAAACAGAAAACTTCAATATTTGTTACCTCAACACGTTTTATTAAAAGTTCTTCAATTTAGGGG